ATTAATTTGGAAAGGAAAACTAATCACTACTCTGAAACCGAGCGTAGCCGGGTATGCAAGCTAGTAATATATAGTCGTATAATCTGATTTATTGTATTAAAGTGTAGCAGCGTATATAAAAGTGGTCTAAATCTTCAGAGACCTTTTATTTCGAACTAGTAAAGGCCAATTCTTAAAATCCTTTTTACAATGTACAATACTGAAAGGGAATGCAGAATAATTTCAGGTGAATCTTGACTCGGACACGCGAGCTGCTACGAAAGCAGCGATGGAGAGCGGCTGCAAGACGGACACATTTAGTCTGGCACAAAGTCGCATTGAGCAATTGATGGCGAAGGATTCATATCGCCGATTTCTCAAAGATCCGCTCTACCTCGAATTAGCGGAAGGCTTGGAAAGCGGCGAAAATTCGCCAAAGACTGTGCAAAAGTAACACATTGACATCAATCCACACTTCGAACATACCAGTCGTTGCGGGTCCCGAGTGATTTTCGTTACGTTTTCAGTTGCTGTCTGCGTACTGCATGCTACATAATAATGTTGATATGTAACCCTGTCACCTCGAACTATTCTCAGTATACTATCACATTATGTATGTAATAAGGGTTCGGCAATATATATTCGTTATCTAGTTGATATTAAAGGCATGTTTTTCTGCTTATTTTTTGTTTTAAAGCGTTTATAATCGTAACCCCACAAATTTTGAAGTACAAGCATATTATAAGTTTTGTGTTTTGCTTTTTATTACCGCCTTGCCATCGAGGAAGCGATCGCCGACCGCTGAACTTGATTCGATCTCTAATACTTTTCGTTATTCTCCTTAATTATGCATTTGGGACAGTTGGCAACATTGTTCAGCCTTTAACAATTTCGAAAAGAAAGAGTTGCTGCCAGCTGCCATTTCACTTTTTTGCGTTTTCCTGTCATCTTTTCTCTCGTCTTCATGTGGTCATCAGCAATTATAGCTATAGAAATAGTCGTGTGGGGTACTGAGGATGCAATCTACCCTCACCTATAAACTCAGTCTGTTTCTTGTATCTATTTGAATCATAATAAAGTTTATTATTGAATGTTAACACGCTCAGGTATTGTCGGTAGTGGAATTCTTTTTCTTTCATCGTATTTTCCGTTATCATCCTTCCTTCTTTTAACAAATCCGTTATTTCTAAAATGAACTAACAAGAATGTGGTTAACAGCAAGTGCTCCTTTGATCCAATTAGCACGCAAAATTGCTTATTTGTATTTTCACAACGGACGAGTATATGCGGACCCTCTCTGAAATGAAAAATTAACCTTGTAGTAGGGAGACAAAAGCTCAAATCCCATTTAGTACGAGCGGATTTTAATGTTTTTCGTTTTCGACTTCCACTGCATTTTTCACAACCCGAACTCGGGCATCTTCGCTACAGTAGTACCGTCTTTGTCAACGTCTGCGTTGCGTATCTCTCCTGCTTCATAATTGCGATCCTAAATTGGTACCCAACAATAAAAGGAACACGTAGAAGTGGATCTACATTGTAACGACGCATAAAGGTCTAAATCACTTCTATCTCTTTCTTAGTCATTTCAAAATAGTATCAACATTTGAAAGAAGGAAACAGGTAGGTGTGAGCCGGTTATGCATGTGGCATACGTTTGTATGCGCCACAACGAATCAGTCTGCATCGTACAGATAAGGCAATACATGAAGCAGCCTCCTGAATTTTGATTTTGATCTGATGTGGTTCACCTATGCAACTTACCAAAGCATCTAATACAGATGTCTTAGCACACATCTCATTATAAAAGGCGCCGTTTTAAAATATTTGGCTTGTTTGAAAGCCGAGATAGTTTTTTCTGCTTCTGCTCGCAATAAAGAATTTGAAAACCCCTTTAACAAATTCCGAAGAGGTCCACTTAGTTGTCCTATTCCAAATATAAGCTTAGTTCAAGTATAATCTTCTTCAAAGCGACAATTAAGGGAAAGATTGTTTTTACACTGTTTTTTCAGTACAACGGAACAACTTTGAGGCTAGTATCATAGGTTATATGGAAGTCTTACGAGCTTTCCTTTCAGAAAGCTATTCCATAAATTATATTAAGAGAGTAAGATTAACAATGTCAGCAACTAGGTTGCAGTGATTAAGCTGGATGAGAATATCTGAACATAGGTTCGATACTCCAGAGACAAGAGAACAAAAGTGATAGTGATTTTAACTATGGACCTTCGCAA